ACTGTTTCTGCTCCTTCAGAGAGCAGAAGCAGAAGTTGGAGTGATCGAGTAAAAGTGAAAAAGTGATTCTGGTGCTATAATTACTCCTAGAATCAGTTTTTTAGAAGTTGGGGGAAACCAGCTTCTGAAAACTGATTCTGCTTCTGCTTTTAAAAAAGAAGCAGAAGCAGAATCAGTTCTAAAGATCCCCTAAATAGTTTTATAAAATACCTTATAATACAAAAAAAACCTGGGCCATGGCCCAACCAGGTCACCCCCCCCCCCCCCCTCCGCCCCTGGAGAGTGGTGAAGGGCTAAGGGAGAAGACAAATGGACGGTCTATCCCCCACCTAAATCGTCGCCTTGGAGCGATCGAGGTGGAAAATGATATTTCAAGAAAAGTGGCAGGGAGTTTGGAGTATTTATCAGTTATTTTGTTTGTTATGATCTTATTTTCGCTTTAGGTTTGTTTACGTTGATCTGTTTTTGTTGTTGTCTTTCGTTTTAGGTCTATAATGATAATTTAAATCTCATTTCCAAGAAAGTTCCTCTCATAAACGTAAAATGTCAACATAAATGTGCATTTATATTGCACACTTTGTAACAAAACATATTGTTTTTTATTCGGCAGCTTATAATGAAAACTGATCATCATACACTCATTACGTAACAAATACAACTTCAACAGTGTTTTTTTTTTTATATTCTATTTTATTCTTTTGTAAATTTACTTGTTTTTCAATAATAATAATTGATGTCATTAAAACTTATTTAGTACAGAACAACAAATTGCATTATACGAACTTACGAAGTACATCTAAATCTAAAATCTAATCTAAATCTAAAAACATTATAATTGTTAATATAGGTTAATATCCTTCATTTATGTCAATGCTTTTTATGCACACAAGCTTGTAAGTTCTTGTTAGAGTGTTGTACTAGACTTTTTTAAAGTCTAAAATAACCTCACTCCGTTAAAAACTTAACTTTGTCAAAGTCACATTCTACTAATTAACATTAATGCATTGATACTACATTATTACTACCTTTATGACTACCACAATCAGTTTTAAAGATAATCCTACGTCCATGAATACGCTAGGTTCAAAAGTTATGGAGTTTTTTTTTTTGAATAAAAAAGTTATGGAGTAATGGAGTAACAGCCTAACAGGTAGTAGATTACTATCGTGATTAATTTTGAAAATTATTAATCAGTAATGGCTCAAAGTGGAATATTTGAGTAGAATAAGTAGTGCACACGTGATTACTCTCTTTAAATTCATTTTTTTTCATAATGTTTTCTTCCCCTATTTTCATTCAATTTTGTCAAATATGGTCTTTTACTTGATTGGTATTATTAAATTTTGAGTGAAATGGTTGAAATTGTGAAAACATTGAGATTGGTGAATCTGTTGATTCTGCTGAAATTTATGAAATTCTGCTAAAGTGGCCAGGTTGGTTGATTCTACTGAATTATGAAAAAATATATTTAAAGTATATTTCATTAATGAATTAAAGAAAAACTTATATGAAAAAAATAAAAAATAAAAGATTATCTACATTAATTTCGGCTAATTCAGTCAGAAAAGTAGCTTTCACCGTACCTTACTTATTTTGATTATTACACAATTCATTGTGTCAATTGAAAATTTACGTCTTTGGTGAAAAAAATACTAGTAGCTAATAAAGCGAAAAATATGATCACCAAACTCATTCTATGTCCCAAATCCGTGCCAATCCCGTATTTTTTTTAGTGGAAGGATATGTTAAAACAAAAAATAAGGCTAAATCTCATAATCAAATACTTTAAAGTCATATAGACATATTTTTCACACAATAATCAATTGGCATGGAATATAATTGATCCGATAATTTTTCAAATATATATATGACGTTTCATTAACTATTTATAAAAATCTCATAATAATTTTCATGTAACAGTTGTTTACAGAAAAGAACATTATTTTAATATTGGGCAAACACTCTCGCCCCTTGCACGAGTAAACGCTAGTATGAATAAATATGCATCAGCATGAAACGAATCATTTAGTTAATGGGTGGTACTGACCCGGCCTCGGCCAGGTGTTGTTTGGACCCGGACCGGAACTGGAGCAAACCGGGCCGGTATCATTCAAAAGTTGTGCCAAAAGAAGCCCGCCAGGATTCGGCTCGGCCTGAGTCCACACCTAGATGAGAGAATAGGGTTGGGCAAAATGGTTTGGTTGCACCGAACCGAACTGAAAATCGGTGGTTTGGTTTGGTTTGGGTTTGCTTAAGTAAACCGTTTGGTAACAATTTGCTCAAACTGAATGGTTTGGTTTGTTTTAAAATCGAAAAAACCGCAAACCGAACTGAACACCGAACAACTTGTATATGAATACTTTGTATTTTTCTTCACTATTCATCTTTAGGATATAAATAAATAGTTTAGACATGAAACATACAAATTTAGCATATACTCCGTATTATTTTAACTTGTACACATTTCATACATTCATTATGACAAAGTTAGCTAATACGACATATTTATATCTATTATGTGTTTACTCCACTTGTATGAAAAGATATTTGGTGATAACAAACAAATAGCATTTATATTTTTTTCTTTGAATATTTTATGTGATATTATAAATACTAATCAACTATAATTTTTTTTTGTGAGAAGTAGGGCTGGACTCGGGACGGGTGGCCCGACCAGGAACCGGCCCGAACCGGCACTGTTCCGGCCCGAACCGGTGGCCTGGTCAGTGACCGGTTCGGGTAGGCCCGATCCGCTGGGGTTCCGGTCCGGGCCCCTCAAAACGTGAACCGGTCGGGCCGGTTCGGGCCCGGTCCGGGCCATTTTATATTTATTTTTTTTTGAATTGTTTTTAAGTTTTTGGGTTGGGCTAGGTATTTTGGATCATTTGAAGAGGGTTTGAGATGGTTTGGGGGTGTGTGGGGGGGGGGTTAGGGGTTAACTAGGAAAAGGCAAAAAAAAAATTGAACCGAGGCCCGGCCCGACCCGGGGGTTACCCGGGCCGGTTCCAGGCCTCCCCTTTCCTGAACCGAGGCCCGGCCGGGCCCAGGCCCGAACCGGCCCGAGTCCACCCCTAGTGAGAAGTGAATCTTTTTCTAGTAATTGAAAAGATGTTAGAGTTTTAATTTATACTTAATTACTAATATTTTATTATTTTTTCTATCTTTTATTTCCTTTTACATTTTATTGAAATAATAAATAAAAGAAGATGAGATGGACCACTACTTTCACTTTCTAATTCTAAAATATAGATCGTTAAAAAAATCTAAAATATAGAATTTATCAAATAAAATAATAAAATAATAAGACACCGAATCAAATCGAACCAAATTGAACCTAATAATTTTGACTTTGCTAAACCGGACTTTAAATCGAACTGAAGCCGAACCGAAAACAATCCAGAAAAAAACAAACCATAAACCGATTATTCAAACCATTGAGAGTATCAATTCAATACGCTTGTAGGACTTCAGAAATCAGGATGAAATTGATTACTCATATTTAAAATGAGAAAAATATAATAATCTTATTTAGGTAAACCACCTAATTTTTACTCCTACTTAACACAGTTGCTTGCAAAAATATAGAAAAGGCACTTTATTCTAACTATTTATAAATATTGAATTCCTAGTATGATAGGACTAGGGACGGATCCAAGGGGGGCGCGGGGGTGACCGCTCCCCTTGGACTTCCATTTTTTCTACTATATACGTAATATTTTCATAAGATTTTCATACTTTAATTAGATATATATGTTTTCGTCCCCCTTAACTTTTAGATTTCAAAATTAATATATAGGCTCACATAATGTAATATTTAATTGGTGATTTAAAAGAAGTAGAATTTAAAATAATTTACATAACTTAAACAAATAAACAATAGAAATCATTGTTTAAGACTTAAGAATTAGGATACCTAAAATTTCTTAGTTTTGTAATGTTTAATTATCTTTATTAGATAATTAGTACTCGATTTTGTAAGATATCAAACGATATTGAATTTGAGATACAGTAGTTAAATAGTATAAATGTTTGTTGACATTAGATTACACTCTTCGTTTACCTCTTACTTTCTAAAAACAATTTGTTGAGTAGATAATACTTTAACTTATTTTAGCATTAATACAAATATGACACCATATATGTGAATTAACATTACTACGTATTATAGTATTCTAAGTATAACAATCTCATACATACTATTGTAATATTAAGAAAGATCATCGTGACCCACAAATACCCTCGTTGGTAGACAGAAATCTCAATTCAAAAACCAATTCTTTATTCTGTTAAGGTTCATGTGGTTAAACAAGACATAAGTTATTTAAAAACATTGGTTGATGTGTACCTTTAATTTTAGGTAAATTCTATGGTACCCATAAGGTACCGTACCTTTGTTCAAGTAGACCAATCAGAATCATGCAGTTGAATTATTTAAATCTATATTAAAACGGATTTAATGATTTAGACCAATCAAATGCATGATAAATACGGTACCCCATTTTTTAAATGGGTACCGGAGTTGTCACCTTAATTTTAACCTCATTACCTTCAAATAATATCATACAATGTTATCTATCCTTTCTTATTTTCAAATAATTTTCCTTTGATTTGTCATTTGTTAAGCTTTAATGTATCAATAAGTTTTTCCAGAGCACTTACAGTTATTAAATCAAAGTTATCTTTTCATTGTCTAAAATTAGAATTGGAATATAATAATAGATATAAATGTCAATATGTCATCGTGTATTTAGTATGTACTAATGGAACTCTTTGAATAAAAATTAGCAACAGAGCCCTACACTAGCGAAAAAATTTTGGCCCGCTTCACTAACGAATTTTTTCCTATCCCGCTTAACAGCGAATTTTTTTTCACTTCCCACACTAATGAAAAAAATTCGCCCCCCTTGACTCGAAATCCTGGATCCGTCCATGGATAGGACCCTAATAAAAATTTAAATAATTCCTAATATATTACCAAAATAAGGACAATGGATAAAAAACGACTTTAGTGGACTATAATTATATTTAAATCTAACATCACAATGACTATAAATGTACACTCACAGTAACTTTAGTCAATTTTTATCCATGATTTTACCCACATTTAAGAAAAAACTCATCAGAGTTTACAACAACTCATGTTCCTTGATGTTGTTCACGGCGATGAGCAAAAAAAGCACATTATTATCTACCCATCGATCTGGTCCATTAATGATAACACTAGCCATCAAGGACCTAGAGAATGTGGGTTTGTTATGCTTCGTATTTCATAATAACAGCTTCAAAAATGCCATCAGATCTGAAGTTGGATGCGATTAACCTTGGATCAACCGGCCCCGGCAAGCTAAAAGACATAGTGAAAGCCCCAGGAGGGCACTGCTCCTGAAATTTTATTTCAAACAGCCGAGATTGCCTTGACACTACATTTTCACTGGTCGAAGTCACCCCACGGATATGGACCTTTCCATCACGTTCAATCTCACAGTTGAACTCACCTAAAGCGAAGAGCCAAGACTTATCTTAGAAAAAAATAATGTATCATCCTCATCAATCAGTCAAAATCATGTATTGACTTTTGAAACAGATAAAACCATGCAACACTTGTTTTAAATGAAGCAAAAATATGGATTGAGAATCATCAAACTTTTAAATATAGAATTATTTTAGTTTAAAAAGACCAATGTATTGATCTTAGGAGAGTATGGAGCATTTCTTTGGATTTTTTTTTTCAAAAGCATCCCAGCCCTACAAGTGCTACTTCCAGAGCACTATTAAGTGCTTTTTAATTCTTTAAATTGTTTCTGAAATCGTCGCTAAAAGCGCTTCTGATCAAATAAAATCACATTAACAAAATAAGTCCAAACAACCAGGCTCTAATGCAGGCCTAATGGTCCCATATAACTAAGATATGATGCTTCATCACATTGTACAATGAGCTTTGGTTATACTATTTCATGGTGCTTGATGTTTATCAAGTTAATCATTTAGCTACTTTTATCACAATGGATGGATCAAAAAGGAAAAATGGGTCAATCTTAGTGGGACGAAGAGAACACTATTTAATTATTTGTACTTGAGTGAGTATAGTTACTCTAGTGATATGCATTGTCCTTATGTTTATGAAAAACCATTTTTATAGAATTAGAATAACCTTTTCTCGTGTCCTTAAATGTGTCTCTTTTTAAAGTAGAAGTACCCTTTTCCTATAGAAAGCACTTATCCTTTGAAGACAAGTCTTCCCAAATGCACTCTAAATGAACTTATCAATGGTGTAGTGTAATTATTTCCTGGAAAACTAGGTATAGCACATCATATAGGAGATAGGTAGATTGGAATGAGAAGTGACAGACAAACCAAGGTCCTTTTTAACTCCAGGTAGAGCAACACGGAAATAGTATGCAGGTTTGCTGAGACCAATGTCCAAGGCTCCGATAGGGGGTCCGGTTGCTCCTTTAGAAGCTGTTCCACTCAAGGTCACTGATGTCTTCGAGTCGCTGAGGGGTAGAAGTGGCATTATACAAGGCCTCTCTAAATGGGACGACTCTCTGACTTCCAGAGGATCATCATCATGGCACCTCTTTTTGAAACATCCTTCAAGCTCAACTCCTTGAGGAATATTATCACTTGCCGCGCTTCTTGTTATGTTCAAGTTCTGCTTTGAATTCTTCCGCATGGTGCCCTTCTCTTTGTTTACTGAATGGGAGATGACATCCATGATGCTGATATTTCGCCCAATTCTAGTGGTGCTTTAGGTCAGAGATCTTTCACCAAATGCAACCAAAAAATCAGTTAGGTCATTTGTGGCGACAACCAAAGCATTCATGCTGATGGCAATTTATACTTTTAGCTTAGCCAAAAAGTTTCTATTTGAGCATGTGACCCAACGAAGCAACAAACAGTTGTATTTATATCTTATTTTGGTATAAATTTAAAAACTGAACTGAGTCGCCAATGTGGCATCCATTGAGGGCTCAAGACTGTGAACGTTAGTAAATGAATCAAATCACAACAGTTCAATACTTCAATGATGTGCTTCACAACGGAGGTATACTTATATATAAGCCTCTACCAACCAGCAACTTACCAAATATTGAACATTGTGTCTACAAGTTAAACTAGCAATTAAAATCACTTCTATAAGAATCTTTCATTTTTGGTATTCTTTAATACAGCTGATGCACTAAACTCAACAGAATCAACCAACTTGATTTAGTCACTAGACTATACTCCATACACAATCAATGCTCAAATCAACTGTATACACTGGAATAAATTTAACCAGAATACCTCATTAATTGAAATTGTAGTTGTTCAGTAATCAGTATCATCCACCACACAGAGATGCAATAATTTTGAAAGCTTTATATGAAGACCCATGCAGAAGAAAATGCTAGAAACAGACACTCAATTGCAAGAAAAAAATTAAACACCAAAAATCAAAACAGCATGGCCATCATGCAGTCTGTGAACTCACAATTTAATTTGCCAACCTTGAATCCCCCCTCACACCGAAAAATAGCATGAAGAACTGGTAATGGATCAGTAGAAGTGATAGACAATTTATAAGTCCTCGCAAGTGCACGAGTCACGGTAGTATAGTGCTCGAGAAGGGTCGAATCCACTGGGATAATGTAACCAAGTAATTGGAAAATAGTTTTAAAAAATGAAATTAAATTAACTAAACCAAAGTTTTGATAATGTTTTGATTTGAAACTGAAAAAGTAAAAATTGAATTAAATGGATGTAAGGAATCTAAAAGGAATAAAAATAAAGCAATTAAACAACTAATGGGAAATTGATTGATAATTTAGCAAGGGAACAGATAGTCAAATACTAATTTTTAAAATTGAGAGTTCATTCTAGGCAGAAATATGACTATCCCGTATGGTGTCCAAAATAAGTCACGTATTTTAACACTTTAGCTATTAATCAATAAAAATTATTAATTAAATAGTTAAAATTTATTAATCACAAAAGAACTACGGCAACCCAATTTAAGAACCAAATAGGCAACCTAACAAGACAATTAAATTGTCTATTTTTGTATCCAAAAGAGCTCAAACTAATAGGCATGGAATGTACTCTGTTAATCCACTCAAACAGCTTAATTAATCATATTAATGTTGGCCAGAAATTAACATAACCAATTAAGCAATTGAGCGAATAAGAATAATGGATAAAACTCGACCAATTGCAATAACTAAAACCACAATTTCATACTAAATCATAGCAACTTTGTCATAATCACTTAAAAAAATTAACTACTTATATCACAATTGGGAATTATTGAAACTGAAGGGAAAAGAAAGTTGGCTTGATTCATGCTCATGTTAACACTAAGCAATTGTGTCCAACCTCTATTTGACAAAATCTTGTTTATTGAAACAATTAAAAATTTGAAATGAAGAGCAGAACAAAGAAATAGAGGTTGCGCTCAATCTCTGATGACTCACGCTGAAGAAAATCCACCGCTCTGTATTTTAGCTATTGAGGAGTTTCGAACTGACTTGGTGTCCTGGTCTGCCTGTCCCTGTCCAGCTTCCCGATGCGTCGCTGCTGCGGTTTTTTATATCCAGGGTTTTTGTGGGGCCTCCTTTTCTCAAGTTGGGCCGTGCATATCGATAAGTACTCCCACTTTTTAGGCTCCAAATTAAAGGGCATTATTAATAGAGTGTGGGCCGAAATCCGCGGGCTGACCCATTTAAATCTATTTATTGGCCGGGTTAGTGTCATGAATTTATGGATTACAACTAAATATCCCATCGGGTCTACTTTTGTGGACCACATATCATTTATGTCTCAACTCTTTTTTCTTTTCAAGTTTAAACTTTTCCCTTTTCAATTTTGTTTTTTTATTTCACTTCTGGATAGCTTTTGCCGACCTCCTCCACAGTCTAAATATAAGTCGAGGAAGGAGTTTCTCATTGTCGTGAAATAATTTAGGAGGGTCGACGGAGGCCTGGAGATTGGCGTTACTCGATCTAATTGTCAATGGAGCCAAGAGATCGATATGATGGCCCAGACCGAGAACAAAGAGCGGATGCCTCCGTCTGTTTCCGCCGCAGATTAGAGAGTTGATCTTCTTATGGCGTCCAGACGAGATCCTTTCTGATGAAGAACGCAATTAACCTTCATCGCATTAGCATCACTTGAAAAGTCCGGTTTAATTGTCAGGATTTTTCCACCGAATTGAAAAGTCTCGAGCCTGAGGTCTGTAATTTGGGTTAGTTCACAACCTCTCCCGTATTAATCACTTGTTACGCTTTTTTATCCATAGCATTCATTGAACAATTTTTTTCTTAATTTATTACAGAGTATCTACATATTTATTGAAGGCTGCAAGCTTGAATGTATGTATGCAATGGATGAATGTTGTTGCATGTATGAATGCAATGGACCTCAGATTTGGAATCACCATGGTTGTTGATGATGCCGTTGTAACAAACTTGAAGAGCAGAACAAGAATGATTAGCACATCCGAGGAAATTGCAGGTATATGACCATTCTGAGTGTTTTGCGTTTAAAGTTTTATAAGCGTTCGTACGAAACATATAGACACTTCCTTGGCGTTTTTTCTGTTTGAATCTCTCTGCACACAATCATACTTTATTTGCCCTCGATTGCCTTTATTCTCATTTTATTCACCTGTTTAAGATTGTTTGCAATGATACCAATTACTCCATCTCATATGTTTTTAGGTTGGGACAATCTCTGCAAATGGAGAAAGAGAAATTGGGGAGCTCATTGCAAAGGCTATGGCCTATGGAAAGGATTGTCAAGGAAGGTGGCATCACAATTCAAGTAAGTGGCAGGGGTGTTTATTTTATTTATCATCATTTTGTTCAAAAATGAAAACTCACTTTTCGCACAGTTGTTTTCTGAAATGAGGCCCCTACGGCCCTACCTCTATTTAATTTATTATACTTCTATGTACTATGCAAGCTTGTATGAGAAACAAGTTGTAATTGATATTAGTTTGAATGTCAAATGTGTTTTGTACTTCATGGTTCTAGAGTTGAGATTCAACTAACTGTTTTGTTGTCTACTCATGTTGGCTCTAGCTAGGATAAACACTATCAGTATAGTTATATGAAGTACAATAATAGCATAACACAAAATCAACAATTCAATCATTCACTTAGTGTTTTGGGTTGGCCAGTAAAAACATCTCCCAGAAAATGTCTTTTGCTTTTTCTGTTTGTAATTGCAATGGTAGAATATAATGCCTGGTAAAGACAGGTTTTGTTTTGAATATGCTCACGGCTTTTTTTAGAATATTAAATAATCCAGAATAATGTTAGTTTTATTCATTGTCTTGTATTGAGATTGAGATAAGATCAGATGTGTTTAATCCTCCACAATATCTTATGGAAAATATACCTTTGAATAATGTGAGGACATTGCACTTTAATTACTCCAACAGCTTTTGATGCATTTCCATAACCTGGTGCTGCCTTTCATAAATAAGAACCTTATTTGCTTACATTTTTTTTTACTCTTCAGACAAATTTCTATGATGTCCCTTGTATTTTATATATGCCAATGATGGTTGCAAGTTAAAGAACAACAACTATGCACTAGATGACATGAAAATATTAGCAAGATATTTCTATTCGAATATAGAAAAAGCATTCAACGTTGAATGAAAAGAACCCCCACTCATGCAACGACTATGCTGCAATGGATGGTAGAGGGTTCGTAGTGCTTTTTCCTCCAACCTTGAACAATTTGTGTGAACAGATTCAGGATGAATTTCCAATATGCCTCTCGCCTTGAGCTTCCTCCAGACTTAATGATGGGTATAACATGGTTCCAATGTCTTGAATGCCAGTTCTATTCCTCGTTTTACTGTATCGATCTAGTGTTTTGTTATATAGTTTTCAATATGATACACTTGTGCTATTATTTGTGGCAGTTTTCGAGATCAACAAGTGAATGAAGAAAGAGAAAAAAATAAGGGATTGTGTGTGAAGAAGCAAAATCAAATGATATAATACATAGTAGATACATGTAATAAATTGAGTTAACAAGTTGAATTATATACTTATTGTGACACTTTTGTATGTTGTTTTTGTTTCCTGTTGTTGTATCATGTGTATTACTTTTTGTTGCAACGTGTTTTTTTTGTTGTAACATGTTGCATTTTGTTGCATCATGTTGCTTATGGTGTTACTGAACGTTGTTTCTATTGATTTAGATTTTTGTTTTTTTATGTTTCTATTACCTTTGTGACCTCTGGCCTTAAAACCAAAATGTCTATATATATTTATACACAAACACTTAAAATGATAAATTTAGATTTATGAAAGTAAACAACAACTTGAAACATAAAGAAACAATAAAAAAACAAAATTTTTACAAGTATAAACAAAAAGAAACACATAGAAACAATTGGCAACAAAAAAATAATAAAACCATAATTAAATAGTTTAAGTGCATTAAGAAATATTACATTACAAAATTCGTATTTTTTAATTTTTTATTTTGATTTTTTAATTTTATTTTTTACTATTTCATTATTATATTTTTTCATATTTTATTCTCTGAGTTTATTTTAATTTTAAAGTCTTTTAGGTTACATTAATTTTCTGATTTTTTATAATTTCATGTAATATATTTTAATTTTTTCCCACAGCATTAAAATTTAATTTAACTCTTCGAATGATCTCAATTTTTTATATTTATTTGATTTTTTATTTTATTTAATATGTATATTTTCAATTTTTTTAAAATAATTACCTTTTTGGTACAAACAAAATTACCGTTTCTAAAGATTCCGATTACTTTTCATATTACCTAATTTATCTTATTTTACGTAATTTTAATCATTTCAAGGATATCAATTTTTTTTAACTATTTTATACTTTTTTATAAAACTTTTGATTTTTTATATTTCATAAAATAAATTATATTATCTATTTACAAAAACTACATTTAATTTTTTTTTCAATTTTATTATTTTTGGATTTTTAAATGTTTTTTATTTTTCTAACTTTTTTTGTAAATTTTAAAATCATTTTCTTTAAGTTTTAAATTTAATTTACAATATTCCAATTTTGTAACATCAATTTAATTATTTTGGAATTTTATGTTTTATTTTTAGTTTTTTATGTTTTTTTAAAATCAATTTCCTTTTTATTATTTCAATTTTTTCTAGAGTTAATGATTTTTTATATTTTCAATGTAAAAGTAAAAAGCTGAGTGCCTAGATACGTGAATGATTGCATGTGTGAAAAGGGGGCAGTGCTTTACGTAAATGGGTGCATGTGTCCGGACTCAGGAGAAGAAACCGGAGTGGGCGGGCTTCATGTCCGGACTCAGGAGAAGAAATCGGAGTGAGTGGGCTTCATACGTGGAATGATCTATTTTTGAAAAGAAACTTCAAAGTAATTTATATTTGCAAGAAATTTTTAAGGGTGACAAAAGTGATATTATTTTCACTTTTTAGTCTATTTGTGAAAAATTCCCTATTTAGTTTGCCGGTTTAAGTGGGTTGGCCCAATGGGTTGCGTGTTTAAATGGGTTGGCCCAACGAGTTGCGGGTTGGCCCGCGGGCCAATATACAAACATATAGTTTTGACTTTTTATCTTCAGTATTGTTTTTTACTACCAAAAATATTATAACTACAATTTAAAAAATTACAGCAATTGCAAAATAATAATTATTTCTGTAATAAATATTCAAATAAAATGTTGAAACATATATTTTATGTGAAGTTTGATACTCCATACAATATTTAGCAATTACTAGTCATGATTTATAAATAATCAATCAAAAGGTTTAAATAGATCTTTACTTCATACAATGAGTATTTTTGTTACATACCCTCTAATAGTTTTCAAATTTTCGTATAACTAGTATTTATTTATTTTAATTAAACTTAACAAGCATTGAGCTCTTAGTATTTTCATTTCTTAATAACTACTCCGTAGTCACTAATGCAAACATATACTCCAGGGTATTTTAACTTTTGAAGGTAATTAAACTTAAATAGTACTTCCCTTATAACTACTTACTAATATAAACATATACTCCAGGGTAATTATTTTTAAAGAATCTTTTGTCATATTTTTTTTACATTGGCCCGTGGGCCAACCTGGTTAACCCACGGGTTATGTGGGTTAGGTTAGGATTGTAGAAATTCTGACCCGTCACTAAATGGGTTGGCCCGACCCAACCCATATAAAGCATAACCCGTCACAGGTCGGGTCGGGTTAGATCGGGTTGACCCGTTTGACAGCTCTAATTATTAAGAACCTAGCTCATATTAGGCTTATACAAATGTCATAAGTTCGGGTATAAAATTTATTCCCAAAAGATCACACTATTAGAACACTAGTCAACTCATACTTTATCGGTGGGGGGTCGAAAATATTTCACGCTTCGAAGAGCCAATGTACTCGTCAGTCACAGCTATGTTGATCACAGTTGGCACACCCAAGCTAAGGCCCAATCCATCACTCCATGGGCCATCACCCCAAGTGTCGGGACTAGGAAGATGAGGATGTGGTTTTGATACCAATTGTAATGGACCTAGCTCATACTAGGCTCACACCAATGCCACAAACTCAAATGTAGAACTCACTACCAAAAGATCAGCCGATT